ATTATTTCCTTTGACCAACACTTGCTGAGCACCTACTGTGTACACGGAGACAGAGATCTGGGCCTTCATGGGGGTCTCACCAACGCAGAGTTGGGGGAGGGGCAAGGGTGTTCGCAGATTCCATGGTGTGGGGGTGAAAAGATCAGGGAGATGGGAGTGAGGTGGGGTCCAACCGAGCCCAGTGCCAGTGGCTCACGCCTGTAATCCCAGCTACATCGGGAGGCTGGGATCTGAGGACTGTGGTCTGAAGCCAGCCAGGGCAGGAAAGTCTGGGAGACTAATCTCTGATGAACCCCCCCTCCCAAAAAAAAAAAAAGCTTCCACGCTGGGCCACCTGTCCATCCCGGCTCACGTGGCTGACTCATCCGGGGCTGCAATTCTCTGACTCACTCTCCCGCTTCCCTGAGAGGATGTGGGGGGGGGCGCCCCACCTCTGGGCTGCCTTCTGCTGGGTTCTCTGTCCCTCCTGTCTGTGATGCATGCCTGAGTCACCTTCCTGCCCCCCCCAACCGAAACCACACCCTCCCCATCCTATTGCAAAGGACACTTACTTGGACCAGTGTGACACTTGGCCAGGGCTTGGCTCATCCTTGGGTGGATCTCTGTGAGAGTGGGTGAGTGTCCCAGCTGGCCCCTGGTGACCTTAAACTCCGATCGTTTCACACCTACAGCCATGAATCCCTTCCCTTTGCATGCACTGCTCCCTCCGCCCACCATGCAGTTCCTTGCTCTCCTCTGCTGCCTATTTTCGGTTATCTCCTCTCCCAGGACATCTTGGATTTTGTCCGGTGAGTTGGGATGCTGCTTGCTTTGGTCTCATTACATAGCCCAAGCTGGCCTTGAACAATTCTCTATCCTCTTGCTTCAACCTTCAAACCTTACAGGCGTGTGCCACTTGGCTTGGCAGTATTTTAGGTTTTTTTTTTTTCAATTTTTTTTTTTTTTGTCGGTTATGGGGCTTGAACTCAGGGTCAGGGTGCTGTCCCTGAGATCTTTTGCTCAAGGTTAGCGCTCTACCACTTTGAGCCACAGCTCCACCTCTGGTGTTCTGGTTTTCTGGAGATGAGAGTCTCATGGGGACTTTTCTTTTCGGACTGGTTTCAAACTGTGATCTTAGCTTCCTGAGTAGCTAAGATTACAGGAGTGAGCTACTGATGCCCAGCTTCAAAACAATTTGTAATTTCCTTATTTTTTTTTTTCCCCTTTGGTGTACTGGAATGAAGTGCAGGTCTGGGGATAGCAGGCTAGGCTGGTGCTAGAACAACTCAAGCCACCGCCCAGTTGAGCCTCACCCGCAGCCACTGTATCATCTTTACTGTGGCCTATAGAAAGAAATATTGTGGGGCTGGGAATGTGACTTAGTGGGAGAGTGCTTGCCTAGCATGCACGAAGCCCTGGGTCTGATTCCTCAATATCACATACACAGAAAAAGCCAGAAGTAGCACTGTGGCTCAAGTAGTAGAGTGCTAGCCTTGAGCAAAACCAGCTCAGGGACAATATCCAGGCCCTGAGTTCAAGCCTGAGGACTGGCAAAAAAAAAGAGGATAGAAGGAAGGAAAGAAGGAGGGAAGGAAGGGAGAAAGGGAGGGAGGGAGGGAGGAAAAAGTCCATATCTTTGAAATCAATACACTTCAAGGCAAGGTAGGGCAGTTAACACCTGTAATCCCAGCACTCAAGAAGCAGAGGCTGGAGGATGGGTAATCAAGGCCAGGCTTGGTTACATATTGAGGCCCTGTCTAAAAGAAAAGAACAAAACTCACAAAAGTTCACATACCACAGTGGAACCTCTAAGTACAATTAATACAAATTGGCAATAAAAAGATAAGAAAGTAAATTAGGCTGGGAGGTGTGCGCGCGTGGGATCAAGAAATGAGGGGTGATTATGGTCAAGGTAGCCTATTTGCATATATGAAAATAGAGCTGTGAGACCTGTTGAGCTGGTTTTTGAGAATAGGGAGAATGACAGATGGGCTGTGGTTAATTGGGACTCGTGTGTGGAAATGACACAATGAAACACACTTGTGGGGTTGGAAAGGTGGCTCAGTGGTAGAGTGCTCACCTCGCATGCATGAGGCCCTGGGTTTGATATTTCAGTACCACATACACAGAAAAAGCTGGAAGTGGTGCCGTGGCTCAAGTGGTAGAGCGCTAGCCTTGAGCACAGAGAGCCTCAGGAACAGTGCCCAGGCTGAGTTCCAGCCCCAGGATTGGCAAAAATAAATAAATAAATAAAACACCCCAAACTAAACCAAAAACAAAACACACTTGTGCAACTACTTTAAAGAATTAATTTAAGCTAGTTTAATAAAAATAAACACAACCTTTGTAAAATAATGCTGGATGAGCGGCAGGAGGTCGCTTCCTGCGGTTCCCTAAGACCCCCCAGAAGGGGAGGACACCCCCACCCCACCCCGCACCCAGGCCTTTCACGGGACCAGCGTTATGGTTGTTCGTTAAGTGAATTCAGGATCGGCCAGTCCGAGACAGAGCTGGGGCACGCTGAGACGCCTTGTTCCCAGCGATCGAGGCAGCGGACCCCCGATCCCTGCGACTCGGGGCCCTGCGACCCCCGACTCAGCCGCCGCCGGGTCCCTAGAGCGGATGCACCTGATCCTCCCTCCTAGAGAAAGCAGGACCAGGACTACATTTCCCACAATTCTCAGGCTGAGAGTACAACTCCCAGAATCCTTTCCTCCGCTAGGTTCGGTGCCCTTCAGCCAGAGGGGAAGGGGGATGGGGAACAGCACCCTCACCCCCCCCCCCAATTCCCTTAATTCTATCCGCTGCCTCCCTCCCTGATAGTCCTGCCTCAGTTTCACCAAGGATATTTCCTTAAGGGAGAGTCCTCTTGCCCCTTTCTTGGTGTTCCCCAGCGCGGGGCAGCCGCGGGCTAGTCCAGGACCCCTGATCGCAGGGCTGGGGGGGCAGAGCTCGGGACCCCTGATAGCAGGTGGCGGGGGGCAGAGCCCGGGACCCCTGATCTCAGGGCTGGGGGGGCACATCCTGGGACCCCTGATCGCAGGTCTGGGGCAGATCCTGGGACCCCTGATCGCAGGCGTGGGGGGGGGGGCAGAGCCTTGGGACCCTGATCGCAGGTTGGGGTTCCGGGAGCGCGCGCCGGGGAGGGGGCGCCCTTGTGTTGCGGAGGCTGCATCCGGGGTGCGCAGCTCCCGCCCAGCCGCAGCGGAGGGGACGCGTCGCCGGTGCTCGCGGAAGATGGAGAGGTCCTCGCCCAGGGTGGGAGTCTACGTTTCCGGGTGTGTCTGCAGTTCGGGGAGCTGTGGGGCGAACCCCGAGATGGCAGCCTGGCACGTGTCGTGTGTATGTCCTTGTGTGATGTGTCCATGTCCCTGACCACCGGGGTCCAGTCCCAGCTTGGCAGCTTCCCTCCCACGCTGTGCCTCAGTTTCCCTGCCTGTACAAGGGGGAAGTTTCTGTCTGGAAGGGCTTGGTGGAGAGCCAAAGGTGATACATGGAGATTCCTGCCTATTTCGTCATTTAAGAATAAACAAACAAAAGCAAATGATTCTGTACTTTTTGTGCTTGTGGTTGTGTAATGTGTGTGCAGCGAAATGTGGGTTTTCTGTGCTGCGTGCGTCTGCCTGCGTCTTTGCGTGTGATGTGTTTCTGGATCTTCCTATGTGTTTGTGTGTGCCTGTGAGTGCCTATGTACACGACATGTGACCGTGGCAGGGTTAGGAGTCTCTGGAACCTTGTCTGAAGTGCGTGTTTGTACCGTGTGTCCACGCCTGCGCAGGTATGGGATGCATGGCTGGCCAGGTCCGCTTGTGTATCTGCATGTTTGTGTATGATGCATCAAGCTTTATAAATGGCCCGAGGGGTGTGTGTGTGTGTGTGTGTGTGTGTGTGTGTGTGTGTGTGTGTGTGTATCTTGGTGGGCCATGTATTCAGGTGCCTTTTTTCATCTGATCTGTGTGAACGAATGTTTCTGGGGACGGAGCAACTCTAGGATTTCTGTGTCCCTCCCTTGTCTGTGTTCCGTGTGTCTGTGGATGCACACAGATCCATGTCTCTGTGTGTTCCTGGGATCCTGTCTGTGCATGTCTGTGACTGGAGGGTTCTTTGTCTCCCATTTGTCTCTGAGATGTTTGTGACTGTGGGTGTCTCTGCCTCTCACTGTGGCATCTGTGTGGATCTTTCTTTGTGGCACCTGTCGGTGGGTCTGTGGTGCATGTGGGTCTTGGGCATGCTTGGTTGTTCCTGCGTGGCCTGGTGCATTTGTACTGGAGCTGGGTCTGCCTGTGCATGCCTGATGCAGCCTGTCCCTGCGTCTTTTGTGTGTGTGTGTGTGTGTGTGTGTGTGTCTCCCCGGCTGCTGCACGCTGTCCACCTTTGTATGTGCTGTGCCCATGTGTGAGGGACCTGCAGCTTGTCAGCGGTGTGTGAGCTGCATGTGCCTCACATCTCTCCCTCTTAACGTGTGACACACGTGTCCTTGACAGTGGTATGGCACAGTGGTGTCAGAACCAGGCGCTGTGGACCCTGAGCACTCCCCCCCCCCCAAGGGTCTGCTGGTCCCTGTCTGTCTCCCCCTCCCCTCTCTCCCCTTCCTCCTGGCAGCCAATGCTACCCAGAGCCGGTTGCCATGACAACCCTCCATCCTCCCTTCATCCTCCCTCCTCCCACCCTTCCTCTGACAGGCTCTCTTCTCCCCCAATCGTGGCTGTCCTCGGGGGCGGGGCCCTCATTCTCGCTCCCCCCCATCCTACCCTCTCCCCCCCTACCCCAGCAACCCCGGCTCCCCAGCTCCTCGCCTCTGTCTGCCTCTCCACCCCTTCATCTGTCTATCCCTTCAAATAGGGGGAGGGGGGCACCTGAGCCAATAAGCAGCCCCTCCCTCCCCCTGTGCTGCGTCTCCCGCCCCTCTCCTGGGCTAGGGGAGGCCAGGGTCGAGTGGGTCCCCATGGCTGGGGGCTGAGGGCCCGCCCCCCCTCCTCCCCAGCCGCCACCACCTGCACCTCCCTTCCATCCTCGACAAGATGCCTGCTCCGGGCGCCTTCATCTTCCTCGCGGCCGTCTCTCTTTCGGGCTGCCTGGCGTCCCCGGTCCATCCCGGTGAGTGCGTCCTGCCGGCCATCGGCGGGGCCCGGCCCCCGCCCCCACCGCGGCCTCCATCACCTGTGCGCGCCCCCCGCGCGCCGGGCTGGGCCTGGGGCTGCAGGGCCTGGGGGCCGGGTGTGTGTGCACGCCTGTGTGCGCGCACGCGAGTGTGTGTGTGCACGCGAGTGTGTGCGGGCGCGGGCGGGGAAGGACAGGGCCCCGGGAGAACTGGGGCCTCGGGGGGAACACAGCCTAAGCGGCTGTCTCTGCTTTTGGGGGGCCCTGGGCTTGGGCTGGGGAATAGAGGGCAAGCCTGCGCTCCCAGCGCCCTTAGGAGAGGCCCCAGCCCCGCCGCCTGGGCCGGGCCAGGTGGGGCTCAGGGGCACCAGCTTCTGCCCCCAGCTTTCATCTGGCAATCACCCCCTCTTTAAATGGGGGATAAGCAGGCTGTCCCCACCAGCGTATGTTAAATTCTCACGGTTCCAGCCCTCACTATCGCCTCACATTCCTTGTCTTCATCCTCCCTGGAATTCATCCAAACCTGGGGTGAAAGGATGCGGTGGGGGACCCCAGCTTGGGGCTACAGAAGGGACCTCACCCCCAGCCCAGCCACCTGGGAAGGCCGCAAACTACAACTCCCACAATACCGCTGGGCCACCCAGCCTTTCTGCCAAGGGGCCTCTGGTCGCAGAGCACCATGGGAGTTGTAGTCTAAGACTACAACAGGATGGGAGGGGCATGGAGCACAAGAGCCAATGGCTTGAAGCCTAGTCCGAACCTGTACCCACAGACGGATTCGCCCTTGGCCGGGCCCCCCTGGCTCCTCCCTACGCTGTGGTCCTCATTTCCTGCTCTGGCCTGCTGGCCTTCATCTTTCTCCTCCTCACCTGTCTGTGCTGCAAAAGGGGTGATGTTGGCTTCAAGGTGAGATGGCTGAAGGGGCTGCCTGGGGGCGGGGTCTGGGGGACCCCAGCAAGGCCCTTCTCTACCCCAGGTGGTTGGCCGGGGAGGGGCAGCAAGCCTGAGAGCACACCTGGCTTGAAGTTGTGCAGACCAGGCTCTGGGATCTAGACACTGGGGTGGAAGTTGGGCTGGGACTTGGGGGTGAGGGCAGATGGCATGGGGGGCAGTTATGAGATAATGCTGGCACGCCTCTCAGCCCCATGTTTTTCTCCTCTCCTGGCTCCAGGAGTTTGAGAACCCCGAAGGGGAGGACTGCTCTGGGGAGTACACCCCCCCTGCAGAGGAGACCTCCTCCTCGCAGTCGCTGCCTGATGTCTACATTCTCCCTCTGGCTGAGGTCTCCCTGCCAATGCCAGCCCCGCAGCCTGCACATTCAGGTACTGCACCAGCCCAGGGTCCTGGGGGGCACAGGGCTGTAGGTCCCTGAGGACCTTTTCTTCAATGAAAGGCAGAGGAAGGAAGGCTAGTTTCTTGGAAGTGAGAGAGGCAGACAGATCATCTTGGCGGGGAGCCATTGCTTAATATCCTAAACCAGATGTGGAGATGCTTTGGGGAACCGGGGAGGCTGAGATCAGCCTCGATCTCAATCTCCGAGGTAGCCAATGAGAGGCCTGAACTCAAGTCATTGGAACTTGGGAGGCCAAAGGAGAGGGCTGATTGGATGTTGGAATCTTGTGGACAGCCAATGAGAAGGCTCAGATCCTGTTATGGAATGTTGGCGCAGCCAATGGAAGGAGATTGGTGTCTGCTTGGACCCCAGTCTTCACTGAATTGGATGGTGTCCCTGGGAGGAAAGAGATGCTCAAGGGCCTCCCCCTCCCACCCCCTCTTCAGACATGACCACCCCCCTGGGCCTTAGCCGCCAGCATCTCAGCTATCTACAGGAGATTGGGAGCGGCTGGTTTGGGAAGGTGAGTGGGGCTGAGGGCTGGGGGACAAGGGGGCACACAATCCTGGCCTGGACTCCTGTTCTGTGTCCATCCCTGCCTCGCTCTCACCATTTTTCATTTGCCCCTCTCAACCCCCCCCAGCCCACCCATCCCCCCTACGTCCGCCCCTCACCTGCTCCCACCCGGCCCACCCCCACCCACCCCACATCTGTCGGTCAGCATCTCCCTCCTCACTCCATTGGCCACTCCACCTCGTCACCTGGCTCTCCACGCATCCGTCCGTCTGTCCATCCTTCCATCCGTCCCTGCGTCCATCGGACTTTGGGCCCGTGAGTCTCACCCTGTGTCTGCTGGGGGACAGGGGAGGTGGGAGACGAAGGAGGGGCTGGAAGGGGGGTGGATCAGAAGCTGTAAGATGGAGCTGGCGGTGGAGGAGGGACGGGCTGGAGACATGGCTGTCCCTGATTCTGAGGTGCCCCTTGGCCAGGTGATCCTGGGGGAGATTTTCTCTGACTACACCCCGGCCCAGGTGGTGGTGAAGGAGCTCAGGGCCAGTGCTGGGCCCCTGGAGCAGCGCAAGTTCATCTCCGAAGCTCAGCCCTACAGGTATCTCAGTGGATGTGTGTTCTAGAAATCCATAGGCGAAGGGGGCTTTTTTGTTTTGTTTTGGTGCCAGTCCTAGGTTTTGAATTCAGGGTCAGGGCACTGTCCCCGAGCTTCTTTTGCTCAAGGCTAGCACTCTACCACTTGAGCCAGAGCGTCACTTCTGGCCTTTTCTCTTTATGTGGTACTTAGGAATCGAACCCCGGGGCTTCATGCTTGCTAGGCAAGCACTCTACCACTAAGCCACCTTCCCAGCCCTAACTCCAGCTTTTTTGATGGTTCACTGGAGATCAGAATCTCATAGACTCTCCTTCTCAGGCTGGCTTCAAACTGTGACCCTCAGATCTCAGCCTCCTGAGGGTGTGTGCTAGGTTTACCCTTCATGGAGGTGGAAGGGGTTCAGGATGGGGCCAAGTCTGGCTTCAAACCCCAGATTCTCTTCTTGGCTGTGTGCCTCTTAGCTCAGTCTCTCCCTCCTGGAGCCCAGAGCTAGGGACCTGCAGCAAGACCTGAGCTGAGCACCCCCAGATCGTCATTTGGTAAGTGAGCTCAGAAAGAGGGCCACTGCAGTGTTGCAGTGGTTTGAGGAGATCACTACAGAGCTCTGCCTCCACTCTGAGTAAACATTTGCCTGATAATTTCACGCAGAGGTAGAGTCTCCTGATATGGAAAGGCTGTGTACGCAAATTCCTTATCAGAACCGTTGGTAAACGTCAAGTTCACCCTGAGACTTGAGTGGACTTTGACACTCACCCCATGATGGTTCCCTATTGCTCCTGGGGCAGTCCCATTCTTCTGTGGGGCCCTTTTTATTTATTTATTTTTTTAATTTCTTTTTTGGGTCTGGTCGTGGTGCCTGAACTTGGCCTGGGCGCTGTCCCTCAGCTCTTCAGCTCAAGGCTAGCGCTCTACCACTTGAGCCACAGCGCCACTTCCGGCTTTTTTCTTTTTGCTTATGTGGTGCTGAGGAATCGAACCCAGGGCCTCAAGCATGCAAGGCAAGCACTCTACCACTGAGCCACCTTCCCAGCCTCCCTTTTAATTTTTTTTGTCGGTTGTGGGGCTTGAACTCTGGGCCTGGGCGCTGTCCCTCAGCTCTTCAGCTCAAGGCAAGCACTCTAGCACCTGAGCCATAGAGCCACTTCGGGTTTTCTAGTGGTTAATTGGAGATAAGAGTCTCACAGACTTTCCTGCCTGGGCTGGCTTTGAACCGTGATCCTCAGATCTCAGCCTCCTGAAGTAGCTAGGATGACAGGCGTGAGCCACCTGCACCTGGCTTCTCTGCCCTTGTGGCTACTATCCCCTCACTCTCCTACACAGCAGCCTCTTTCCTGCCACAGGACCTTGGCTTTTGTTTCTCCCTTTCTCTAGAGTGTCACGGCTTGTTTCTTCATCTCCAGCTTGAAGTTGGGGGCTCCCTTCCTCTTTTCACTTCTTTTTTCTTTTGGGCTTAAACTCTGGGCCTGGGTGCTGTCTCTGAACTCCTTTTGCTCAAGGCTAGCGCTCTACCACTTGAGCCATAACGCCACTTCTGGCTTTTTCTTTTTCTTTTTTTTTGGGTCCGGTCGTGGGGCCTGAACTCTGGGCCTGGGCGCTGTCCCTCAGCTCTTCAGCTCAAGGCTAGCGCTCTACCACTTGAGCCACAGCGCCACTTCCGGCTTTTTTCTTTTTGCTTATGTGGTGCTGAGGAATCGAACCCAGGGCCTCAGGCATGCAAGGCAAGCGCTCTACCAATGAGCCAACTTCCCAGCCCACTTCTGGCTTTTTCTGTGATTCATTGGAGGTAAGTCTCATGGACTTGCTTGCCTCAAAACTCAGTCCTCAGATTTCAGCCTCTTGAGTAGCTAAGAGTACAGGTGTGAGCAACTGGCACCCAGCTTCCTCTTTTCAGTTTTGTCCTTATTTACTGACCCCCATGTACAAGGGGCCTGGAATAGTCCGTGATACCATCTTGTATGATTTTTTGTTTTTTGTTTTTTTTTCTTTCATAGCTCATATCCCAGTTTGTCATTAATTTCCCTCTTATCGCCTGTCTCTGCCTATTCCATTGCTGACAAACCGCTAACCACAAATGGCTGTTTACATTTAAAGCAAACTCAATGACAGCAGCCAGACATTAGCGGCTCATGCTGAGACGGGAGGATTGCGGCTCAAGGCTGGTCCTGGCCTACCCCTCCATCTCAATCCCTAATTGGGTCATGGTGGTGTGGGCCTGTCATCCCAGCTGTAGGAAGAATAAATAGGAGGATCACTGTCCAAGTTGGCTGGTCAAGGGAAAAAACTAGACCCTATGTCAATAATAAGTAGAATAACTTGGGCTAGAGATGTGGCTCAAGCAGTAGAGCACCGGCTTATGGAGCGCAAAGCCCTAAGTTTAAACTACCATACCAAAAAAGAAAAAAAAAAAAAAAAGAAGAAGAAAGGGAGGAAGAAAGAAAATTCAAACCAGCAGTCATTAAGCGTCATTTTACCCAGCCACACTTTCCACATTTCGAGTGGCCACATGGGATCATGTTTGCCCCTGGCCTGGTATGGTTTTGTCTTCAGGGAAAGTTCTGTAGGACAGCACAGCACTGCACTGAGATCAGATCGCAGCTGTGTAATTCCGGGCAAGTCACTTCACATCTCTGAGCCTTCATTTCCTTCTGCATGGCATGCAGGGGCCATCATCCTGCAGTGTGACAGTCAGCTAAGGATTCCTTCTTCCTCCATCAGCCTCAGTTTACTAGCACCAGCCATTTCTCAGGTCCTAGCATGTGGCAGCTAGATGCATGGTTTTCATTCAAGCAGGATGACAGCCCCTTAGTGCTGATATCAGAATGAAAACAACTCAAGCTGGGCGCCAGTGGCTCACGCCTGTCATCCTAGCTACTCAGGATGCTGAGATCTGAGGATCGTGGTTCAAAGCCAGCCCAGGCAGGAAAGTCTGGGAGACTTTTATCTCCAGTAAACCACTAGAAAACCGGAAGTGGCATTGTGGCTCAAGTGGTAGAGCGCTCGCCTTGAGCTGAAGAGCTCAGGAGTAGTGTCCAGGTCCAGAGTTCAAGCCCCACAACTGACCAAAAAAAAAAAAAAAAAGAAAAGAAAAGAAAACAACTCACTGTGTACCCACTTAAAAGAAAAGAAAAGAAAACAACACTGTGTACCCACTTCAGGAAGAGTCCTGGAGTGTGAAGTCTGACATGCTTAATGCTCTCTCAGACTCCAAAATAGATAGGTATGAAGGGAACCGCCCTTCCCCATGTTTGGTTTGATTGTACACCTGGTGTAGTGTGTTAATTCATGTCTGTAATCCCAGCACTTAGAAGAAATGATAAGTTTCAGGCCAGGCTGCTCTATGCAGTGACGGCCTGTCTCCAAACCCAAGCTAAATAAAGAGTAAAAAGAGAAAGTATTCGAGAATGACAAGGCCCATAAGGAAAGGGCAGGGACATTATGTGACAGAAACAGGCCCTTTGGACAGGGAAACGAGGAGGTATCTGTTATGCAAAGCATTGTGGGAAGTGTGTTCCAGGCACTGGGAGAAGCAAGCATATGGGAAAATCTGGGATCAGAAAAAGACTTCCTGGAAATGCAGTTAGAATTGAAGGCAAAAATAAAGCCCAACACATGTTAGAATAAAAAGAACAGTGATAGTGCTGGGCATGGTGGTAGATGCCTGTAATCTCAGCTCTCAGAAGCCTGAAGCAAGAAGATTGACAGTAGAGTGGGCTGGGAATGTGGCTTAGTGGTAGAGTAGCATGCATGAAGCCCTGGGTTCGATTCCTCAGTACTACATACACAGAAAAAGCTGGAAGTGGTAGCTCAAGTGGTAGAGCCCTAGCCTTGATCAAAAGAAGCTCAGGAACAGTGCCCAGGTCCTGAGTTCAAGGCCCAGGACTGGCAAAAAAAAAAAAAAGAAAAGAAAAGAAAAAAAAATTGAGCGTTCCAGACTAGCCCGGGATACACAGCCAGACCCTGTCTTAAAATACAAAATAAAAAGCAGTAATAACTCAAACCTCTCCCCACCACGTCCCATCTCCTCACTGATCCACTAAACCTGCAATACCCATATGAGGGGGTTAGTACCCTTCCCCCCACTTTTCAGATGAGGTAAACAGAGGTAGGGAGAGGTGCAATGACTTACTGGTGATTCCACACTGAGGGTGCAGGTGGGCCATGGCCGGCTCACCACTGGGGGGCGATGCGGAGCTGAGATTGAAGCTGGGGCCTGAGCCAAGGCTAGGAGCTTGGGGAAGGCAGGGTGTCCTCCCCGCAAGAGCCTGAGCAGGGGCTGGGTGACACCAGCCCTTGGGGGACAACCGAGAGCCATAGAAGCCAGGGACAAACTGAGGCTGGAGCTGAGGGGTGTGTTTGTGTAGGGGGGAAGGTGGGAGAGGGCAGGAGCGGGGTAAGGTTGAAGGGGAAGAGGGAGGAGAGGCAGGGACCTCTGAGGCCGCCTGTTGCAGGCCAGCCAGGGCGGTGCCTGAGAAGAGATGGGGTTGGGTGGGCAGATACTGCCGGAGAGGAAACTGAGGCCAGAGCCTGAGCTGAAGTTGGGCTGGACAGTGAGGCTGGACCGTAGTCCCGCCCACTCCTCTCCTGGCCCCTCCCCTCCTGACTCCTCTCCCACTCGCCTCCCCTGGCCCCTCCCACTTCCCTCCTGGCTCCTCCCCCTACACTGGCCCCTCCCTCTCCTGATGCTTCCTTCTCCTGGTTCCCCCACAGAAGCCTGCAGCACCCCAACGTCCTCCAGTGCCTGGGCCTATGTGTGGAGACGCTGCCCTTCTTGCTGATCATGGAGTTCTGTCAGCTGGTGAGGGGCTGGGACTGGGTGATGGGGGAGGAGGGCAAGTGGGTCCCAGGAGCCCCCGACCTCTCCCATCATCACTACGAGACATCTGGGTGCCGGCCTTAACATTTCTTGAGGTTTCCTGGATGCATGGCTGCTCTGAGCCAGCAGGCAATGTGGATCTGTCATTACTCTTTTCACACTTCAAGGGAAACTGAGGCTCGGAGAGACTGCTTCCTCCCCTCCCCCCCTCCTTCAGAACAATGTCTGGCAGGGACTATGTAGTGATCCATGCCCGCCTCCCTCCCAGGGGGACCTGAAACGATACCTCCGGGCCCAGCGGCCCCCCGAGGGCCTGTCCCCCGAACTGCCCCCTCGAGACCTGCGGACCCTGCAAAGGATGGGCCTGGAGATCGCCCGTGGCCTGGCGCACCTGCACTCGCACAACTACGTGCATAGGTGGGCAGGCCCGGAGCTCCGGGACCGGGCTGGGGAGAAGCCCAGGGTAGGGGGGTCGGGAGTGGCCCGCTCTAAACCCAGACAGACGACGGGAGTCCAGGGAGGACAGGCCAACAGGGACGGCAGAGGAACAGGAAAGGAGCCAACCCAGGCACGGAGGGGCTCAGGAGGAGGAGCCAACGTAGACAGGGAGGGGGCAGGAAGTAGGCGGGGCTAAGGAGGAGCCAATCGTGCTGAGCAGGGCTAGGGAAAAGGCGGGGTCAAGGGAGGGGCCAACTGCGATGGGGAGGGGCTAGGAAAAGGCGGGGCCAGTGGAGGAGCCAATCGTGATGGGGAGGGGCTAGGAAATTTTGCGGAGCCAGGGGAGGGCCCAGCAGACAGGGAGGGGACAGGAAATGGGCTGGGCCAAGAGAGGAGCCAGTAGTGATGGGGAGGGTTTAGGAAAGAGGCAGAACCAACATGGTCAGGGGTCAGGAAAGAGGCAGAGTCAAGGGAGGGGCCAACCGATGGGGAGGGGCTAAGAAGCAGGCAGCACCAAGGAGGAGCCAATAGAGATGGGGAGGGATCAGAAGAGATGGGACAAGGGAGGAGCCAGCACATGGGGAGGAGCCAATACAGACAGGGAGGGGCCAGGAGATAAGAGGGGGGCCAGGGGAGGGACCAACACAAATGGGGAGGAGCCAAGTATGGGAGGAACCTCTAAGAGAAGGATAAAGGAGGAGGGGCCTTCACAGGAGATGGGCCGGACAAAAGGCGGAGCTGGGGAGGAGGAGCCCACAAAGAAGGGGAGTGGCCAAGGAAGAGGGAGGAGCTAATAGAGGGGGAGTCTGGGAGCGAAGTGGGAGGAGCCAGAGAGGAGGGGCTGTGCCAGGAGAGCGACCCGGCAAAGGAAGAAGGCAGAGTGGAGAGGTTTCTAGGGGTGGAGGAGGAATGAGGAGAGGGGCGTAGAGAGACTACTGCGGGGCTGTGGGGGAGGAGTCAGAGTGTGAGTGGGCGGGGTCTCCAGGGGCAGGTCTATGCTGGGGCCTGTGGGCGGGGCCTCACTCGCTAGCTCCGCCCCCGCTTCCCCAGCGACCTGGCGCTGCGCAACTGCTTGTTGACCTCCGACCTCACGGTGCGCATCGGGGACTACGGGCTGGCGCACAGCAACTACAAGGTGGGCGGCCTCGGGCGGACGGGCGGCGGCGGGATCCCCGGAGGGGGATCCCCCGACCCTCCTGACCCACAGGTCCCGCCGGTCCCCAGGAGGACTACTACCTGACGCCCGAGCGCCTGTGGATCCCGCTGCGCTGGGCGGCGCCCGAGCTGCTGGGGGAGCTGCATGGGACCTTCATGGTGGTCGATCAGAGCCGGGAGAGCAACATCTGGTGAGGCGGGGGAGAGGGACCCGAGGACTCCCGATGGGGCGGGCCGGACCCCCAGGCGCCGGGCGGGGGTTCAGCCTCTCTGCCCCCCGCCCCGCGCAGGTCCTTGGGGGTGACCCTGTGGGAGCTGTTTGAATTTGGGGCTCAGCCCTACCGCCATCTGTCAGACGAGGAGGTCCTGGCCTTCGTGGTCCGCCAGCAGCACGTGAAGCTGGCCCGCCCCAGGCTCAAGCTGCCCTACGCGGACTACTGGTGAGTGGGGGGTGCGGGGGTGGGGTGGGCGGGCTGCCCGAGGTCACCCCTCAGCACCCCCACTCGCCCTCCCTGGGCCCCAGGAGTGGACAGGGGACATCCGCTCTGCCTCTGCCATGACCTGGAGGGGAACACGGAGGCGCTGAGTGGCGGAGATGGGGGGGGATGGAAGGGGAGGTTCTCCGACCCCGCCCACTGACCCCGCCCCACCCCGGCCGGCTCCTCCCCCGGCTCCGTGTCCCGGGGCCTCCACCCGGCCCCTGGGGGTCTCTGTCGCCGCTCTGGGGGCTCTGCCCCGCTCACCCCTCCCCTCCCCTCCCCTCCCCTCCTTTCCCCTCCCTTTCCCCCTCCCTCCAGGTACGACATCCTGCAGTCCTGCTGGCGGCCCCCGGCCCAGCGGCCCTCGGCGTCCGACCTGCAGCTGCAGCTCACCTACCTGCTGTCGGAGCGGCCGCCACGGCCGCCGCCGCCGCCGCCGCCGCCCCGCGACGGCCCCTTCCCCTGGCCCTGGCCCCCCTCGCACAGCGCCCCCCGCCCGGGGACCCTGTCCTCGCCGTTCCCCCTGCTGGATGGCTTCCCCGGGGCCGACCCTGACGACGTGCTCACGGTCACCGAGAGCAGCCGCGGCCTCAACCTCGAGTGCCTGTGGGAGAAGGCGCGGCGAGGCGCGGGCCGCGGCGGGGGGGCGCCCCCGTGGCAGCCGGCGTCCGCGCCCCCGGCCCCCCACGCCAACCCCTCCAACCCCTTCTACGAGGCGCTGTCCACGCCCAGCGTGCTGCCCGTCATCAGCGCCCGCAGCCCCTCGGTGAGCAGCGAGTACTACATCCGCCTGGAGGAGCATGGCTCCCCGCCCGAGCCCCTCTTCCCCAACGACTGGGACCCCCTGGACCCGGGTGTGCCCGCCGCCCCGGCCCCCCAGGCCCCGTCCGAGGTCCCCCAGCTCGTGTCCGAGACCTGGGCCTCCCCCCTCTTCCCGGCGCCGCGGCCCTTCGCTGCCCAGGCCGCGGCCGGCAGCTTCCTGCTGAGCGGCTGGGACCCCGAGGGCCGGGGCGCCGGGGAGACCCTGGCCGGAGACCCCGCCGAGGTGCTGGGGGAGCGGGGTGCGGCCTGGGCCGAGGAGGAGGAGGAAGAGGAGGAGGAGGAGGAGGGCAGCTCCCCCGGGGAGGGCAGCAGCAGCCTGGGCGGGGGGCCCGGCCGCCGGGGTCCCCTCCCCTGTCCGCTGTGCAGCCGCGAGGGCCCCTGCGCCTGCCTGCCCCTGGAGCGGGGGGACGCCGTGGCCGGCTGGGGGGGGCACCCCGCGCTGGGCTGCCCGCACCCCCCGGAGGACGACTCGTCCCTGCGGGCCGAGCGCGGCTCCCTGGCCGACCTGCCTCTGGTCCCCCCCGCGCCGGCCCCCCCCGAGTTTCTGGACCCTCTCATGGGGGCCGCGGCGCCCCAGTACCCCGGGCGGGGGCCGCCCCCCGCTCCCCCCCCTCCACCGCCGCCTCCCCGGGCCCCCGCCGAGCCGGCCGCGTCCCCCGACCCCCCGTCGGCCCTGGCCAGTCCTGGCTCCGGCCTGTCGTCGCCGGGCCCCAAGCCGGGGGACAGCGGCTACGAGACCGAGACCCCTTTTTCCCCCGAGGGAGCCTTCCCCGGTGGGGGGGCGGCCGAGGAGGAAGGGGTCCCTCGGCCGCGGGCTCCCCCCGAGCCGCCCGACCCCGGAGCGCCCCGGCCACCCCCAGACCCGGGTCCCCTCCCGGCCCCCGGGCCGCAGGAGAAGCCGAGCTTCGTAGTGCAAGTGAGCACCGAGCAGCTGCTCGAGTCCCTGCGGGAGGGCGTGACCAGGAACCTCCTGGGGGGCCCGGGGCCCCCGGCGCCCAGGAAGGCGGGGAGAGGCCCCCCCGCGAGCCGAGAGACAGCTCCCCCGGGCCCGAGCCCGGACCCGCCAGCCCCGAGCAGCGGCGCCCAGACAGCCCCCAGCCCGAGCCTCCCCGGGAACGGGAGCGGGGTGACAGCCTCGCCGAACGGGGGCCAGGCAGCCCCGGGCCCGGAGAAGACGGCCGAGAACGGGGGACTGGGGTCCCCAGAGAGGGACGAGACAGTGCTGGAGAATGGGGAGCTGACGCCGCCAAGGAGGAAGGCGAGGCCCCTGGAGAATGGGGAGCTGAGGTCCCCAGAGGCCGGGGAGAAGGCGCTGGTGAATGGGGGGCCGACGTCCCCAAAGAGCCGGGGGGAGAAGGCGCCCGCGAATGGGGGCCTGAGGCTCCCCAGGAACACGGGGAGCCCACCGGAGACTGGGCCTTGGAGGTCCCCGGGGCCCCAGGAGAAGACGCCCGGGACTGGGGGTCCAGCCCCAGAGACCTCCCTGGAGAGAGCCCCCACCTGCGGCCAGGGGCCCTGGGCCCAGAACGGCTTGGAGACGGCCCCTGGCCCTCGTGGCCCAGCCCCCAAGAACGGGACGCTGGACCCCGGGACCGAGAGGAGAGTCCTCGAGACTGGGAGGCTGGACCTCGGGAATGGGGGCCGAGCCCCGGCGGACGTGGGGACGGGGGGCCCCGGCGGAGGCCCCGAAAACGGCGCGGACGCAAAGGCCGGATGGGGAGACAGCAAGAGGCCACCGCCGCTGCCGCCGCCACCGGAGGCCCCGGCGAGGAGGCTGGAGCCAGTGCCCCCGAGGGTCCGGCCGGAGGTGGCCTCCGAGGGAGACCCCCCCGGGGTCCCAGACCCCAGGGCCGACGGAGACACAGCACCCAGCGGAGACGGGGACCCCCCCAAGCCCGAGAGGAAGGGCCCCGAGATGCCACGACTGTTCTTGGACTTGGGCCCCCCTCAGGGGAACAGCGAACAGATCAAAGGTGAGGAGGCTGTGGGGGGCAGTGGAAGTCAGGCTTGGGGTGGCAGGAGCAGCAGGTCTGCCTGGACCGGGCCAGTAATGAACGCAGAACAACCTGGGCCTCCATCCCAGCCCTGTCCCTCCTTTCCGCCGCAGCCTTGGGCAAATGTCCTTCCAGGTCTGAGCCTCAGTTTCCCTAGCTGCTAAGATCCAATGACAGGGAGGACATCTATTTGATAGGCAGCCACAGAGTGCAGTAGGTTAGGAAGTGCAAAACCTTTAACTCAGGCCTCAGACACCACTCTCAGTGTCTGCTTTGTTCTCATAGGACCTTTGGACCAGGGGATCCAAGTCAGGTGTCCATGGGGCAGAGTACAAGGGAAGCTGGGAAGGGAGAGGGGGTATGAGGTGCTGTCTGGGTGCTGTGGACGCTGTCTCAGGCAGTCCACTCTAGTTTCTCCCTGCTAAACCAATGCTCTAGTTTTCCTTTTGACAGTGCAGGGATTTGAACTCAGGGACTCACAGTTGCTAGGCAGATGTACTACTGCTTGAGCCATGCCCCTGACCCTTTAGTTCATATAGGGTCTCCTGTTTTGGCCTAGATTGACCTCAGACCACAATCCCTCTTCCTCTGCCTCCCCCACAACTGGGAGGACAGGCCTGTACCACTGTGCCTGACTTATTTGATGAGATGTGGCTGGCCCAGAACCACGAAGCCTTCTGACCTCTACCTCCTGAGTAGCTGGGATTAAAGGCACACATCACTGAGCCTGGCCCACACTCTAAGGATTTCAAAACTGGTTACAACCAATTCAAAGGAAACCAATGGGGTGGGGCAAGTAGGGCAGTCAGGGCCCCAGGCTGTCACCTGTGGTCTCTGCTCTACTTTCCAATGAGCTGAGGTGTCTCCCCAGTGTGTTAGGCTCTGGGCCACCCACGGCTGGGCTTCAGATCAGGCCCTTACCCAGGCTACTGTACACAAGGCCTTTTCTCAGGGCCTAGGAATTTGAACATTACTGTTTCTAAAGGTGTGGGAAGTGTGTGACCAGCTGTGTCTGGAAGTGGGAAAATGTTGGGACTGAGTAGCTAAGATGCCCCAGAGATCTGGAGTCCCACAAACACCGTGGATGTGCTCGGGGCCTGGGGTTGACCCCTTGGATGAGCCAGACCAGTCCAACACTGACCACACTGGCACAGACACACAGCAGGTGGCCTGACACCTGGTCTTCCAAGGCTGGAGGGAATGCGGGCATTTGGACGGCGGGAACAGCATTTGTAATGGGGCAGCTGCCCCTGGGGTTGGAGGTCTCCACAGCTGGGGTTGGAGATCTCGACAGCATGAGGCATCGGCTGGTCCGGGACACCTGGGCCGGGGGGGGGGGGGCGGTTATGGGGAGAACCTGGGCAGGAGATGGAGAGCAGCGGGGCGTCCCTACTCCTCCCCACCCGCCCCCCCCAACAGCTAGGTGGGAGAGCCTGCCTCGGTTTTCCCAGGGCGAGGCTCACCGATCTCTCCCCTCGCAGCCAAGCTCTCCCGGCTGTCGCTGGCGCTCCCGCCACTCTCGCTCACGCCGTTCCCGGGCCCGGGCCCGCGGCGGCCCCCGTGGGAGGGCGCGGACGGCGGGGCGGCTGGCGGGGAGGCCGGCGGGGCGGGGTCGCCGGGGCCGGCGGAGGAGGACGGGGAGGACGAGGACGAGGACGAGGAGGAGGACGAGGAGGCGGCGGGCGCGGCGGCGGGACCTCGGGGCTCCGGGAGGACGCGGGCAGCCCCGGTGCCCGTCGTGGTGAGCAGCGCCGACGCGGACGCGGCCCGGCCGTTGCGGGGATTGCTCAAGTCTCCGCGCGGGGCCGACGACTCGGAGGACAGCGAGCTGGAGAGGAAGCGCAAGATGGTCTCCTTCCACGGGGACGTGACCGTCTACCTCTTCGACCAGGTACGGGGGCGGGGCCTGCTGAGGGGGCGGGGCTGAACAAGCCGGTCGTCTTGGGGGCGGGGCCAGGGGCGGGGCCAGGGGCGGGGTTGCCAAGCCTGGGTGGGCTACGTTTTGAGACCAGCTCGGAGGGCCTAGGAGGAAGGTGGTTCCAGGCCCCCAAGTCGGCCACCTGAGGCCCACATATGGGAGGTAGGTGGGACGGACGGGGTGGCAGACGGGGCGGATGGGGGCGGCTTTGAGATCGCTTTGGGTTAGGGCATCTGACTGGCAGAGCAGAAAGAGGAGAGCACCCCCCCTCCGAAGCGGGCGTGGCCTGACAGTGGGCGGAGCGGGACGTAGAGATCGTATTGGGTTAGGGATAGCATTCCGGGTGTGGGCGTGGCTTATCGGTGGGCGGAGCCCTCTGTAGTCAGGTAAGGAGATTAGGTTTAAGGCTGACCCAAGGCTTCCCAGGCAGATTGAGGGCTAGGCCTCCGCTGCAGAGAGTGAGGTCAGTGTTAGCAGCCGTTTCCACCTGTTAGGGGGACACAGTGGGTGGCCGTGACTGGGGGTTCATCCCCTCTCCGTTCCATTCGTTTGCCGTCCCAGGAGACACCAACCAACGAGTTGAGCGTGCAGGGCCCCCCCGAGGGGGACACGGACCCATCAACGCCCCCAGCGCCCCCGACGCCTCCCCACCCCGCCACCCCCGGAGATGGGTTTCCCAGCAACGACAGCGGCTTTGGTGAGGGAAGAGGACCGCTTGGGGGCGGGGCCGACAGCGGGCGTGGGGAGTTGGCCCAGGAAGGGGAAAGGCGGAGCCAATGTGGGCAGGGCTGGCTGCGAGGACCTCGGAGGTGGGGCCTGGGAGGAGCGGAGCCTGCACGGGAGCGGGAGCGCGGGGACCCGCGTGTCTGATGGGTGCCCGCGCTCTTCTATCCTGGCAGGAGGCAGTTTCGAGTGGGCGGAGGATTTCCCCCTCCTCCCCCCGCCCGGGCCCCCCCTGTGCTTCTCCCGCTTCTCCGTCTCGCCTGCACTGGAGACCCCGGGGCCCCCCACTCGGGCCCCCGACGCCCGGCCCGCAGGTACCGTTACCTCCTGGTCCATCTCTGGACTTGTGGCCTCTTCCTTCTTGGTTCTCCCTCAGCCAGCTCAGAACCAAGACCCATGGTCTTGAGCTGTCACGCCGCACCCCCACACCCCCAGTCTCAGTTTCCCCCCACCTGGCTCCCGTAGGAAAAAGTATTGGGCAGCTCCATTGCGGATGCGGAAGCCCGGGGAGGGGGGCGCGGTCTCACCGTGGGCCTGTGGCTGGGCTGGCCGGCGAGGACGGAGGGAGGGCAGGATGATGGGGGGGCCTCGTGTAGCTCCGCGAGTGACCCAGAAGCCAAGAGCCTGGCCCTTCCCCATAAACTCACATTACTGTCTCCATCCTCAGGCCCCGTGGAGAACTGACTCCCCAGAGACCCGACCCTCCTGCACCCCCAGACGAGGGGCTGAGAGTGGAATCCTGTGTGGATGACGGAGTCACTGCCACTGCTGCAGACGCCGCCTCCGGGGAGGCTCCCGAGGCCGGGCCCTCCCCGCCCCCCACCACGTGCCAAACGGGAGGCCCCGGCCCCCCGCCCCCGAGCCCCCCAGCCACCTCCCCTGACGCCCCCGATCCCCTCGGTGCCACATGAGGCAAGAAGCCCCTCGACCTTCCCAGAAAGTCACTTTTCTTGGAACTGAACTGAATGAACTCTTCAGGGCCTGGAGCCCCTTGACACGCGGGGGCCCAGCCTCCCCCACTTGGCCCGTTCAGGCCGCAGGCTTCGGACCCCCGCCCCGCCCCGCCTGGCCCCTGGAGGGGCCTCCAGTTCAAACCTTGACGTGGCATTTTCACATTATTTAAAAAAGACAAAAATGACTTTTTGGAGGAAGGCAGGGCCTGTGTGTTTGCAGAGGGGGGGCAGGGAGGACAGTCCTCATGCACAAGGCCTGGGGCAAGGGGCGCCCACGCATTGGGCAGGGCCAAGATCCGCAGGGCTGACAGGAAGCTGTGTTGGGGGGACCAGGTAGTCCTGCCTCAGTTTACCCACCTTCCCATATGAACTTCAGAAAGCCCCCTGCCATTTGCTGCCCCTGTACACACTCCGTTTTGACCTTTGAACTCCTGGCCTGAGAGAGGAGGGTGGGCACCCGAGTGACCCTCAGTGGCAAACCCTTCACATAGCTCTGCTGCATCCACTCCCCCTGCTTCCTCTGGGCCCACATTAAGAAGCCCCCCACTCCCCAGTCCTTAGCAATAGGCAGCTTTCCAAATTGCTGCTCAGGTGGGGGGCTGAGGTTGGGGCTAGCACCCACAGCTGCCTATCCTTGGGAAAGCCAGGCAACTTGGAGGTGACCAGCCACTTCAGCATTCCACAAGCTCCCCCAGTTTTATCCTGACCAGAACAGAATTGATTTCATCTCTTTATAACTTCCCCTGAGCCATTTCGGTCAGTGATCTTGCCAATGGGTCCTTCCAGGTGCCCTGGAGTGGAAGTGTCACAAGAGGTGCACCCCTCCAGATGAAATATGGACACACTGTTGGCAGCAGTTGGGGCTTTACCAACCCCCACAGGGCAGGAGACCCAGCAGAGGCAAAGCCCACAACCCAAGGCTGAGGCCCAGGGCTGAACAACCTAGTGGGAGCTGTAGCTAAGGCTCTCAGGACCTGTCTGTGGAAAGAGGCTTCCAGGTGCAGGTGCCCTTGCCTGGCCCTGTAGCCAATATGGCCCAAGATAGGCCCCACCCACCCTACCAAGGCAATCAGCAACTGGGACCAGTGCCTCTAGCACCACCAGGGGAGGACTAACAAATCCAGTCCAGCTGCTAGCCCAGAACTGCTCCTGGCATGGTAGTATACTTCTGCAGTCTCAGCACATCTGAGCCTATAGCATCGGGATTAAAGATGTCAGGGCAGTTCCTGGACAGCCTGGCTACACAGCAAGACCTTGTACTTAAAAAACAAAATCTCTGTGCACCAAAAGTGGAGACATGGGGGTCCCTCCATCTGGAACCAACCAGTCTTTGGTCTCTGGGGAAACCCTGTATACTATAACTAGCCAGATCTTAGATTAGGGGTTATCATAAGCTGAGATGCACCTTACAAGGTGGATCTGCAGGTCTGGTGCCACACTGCCACCCAGGACTATACTGCGGACAGTGTTGTCCAGGTTCCCAGTTCACAGGCCATGGCTGCCTCCCTAAGTGCTCCTCTATTGTCCAGATTACCCTGTTCCCAGCCCTGGATGCATCCCTGAGCAAAGATAGAGGCTGAGGATCAGAGGCTTCAACTTCCAAGGGTCATTCCCCAGCACCAGCCAATTCTCATCAGGCCCATGGGCTTCTGAGAAAGTGCATGGAGCTCTCTGGGCCACACCAGCCCTCCCGTGTGCCAGGTACACAGGGCCCCAGCATCTCAGCTCTGCCAATGCCAAAGAATGAGGGGGTCTGCAGGCGCAAGAGGTTCATTAATATTAAGATTACCAACAGTGTGTGGATTACAAAGAAGGAAAGAGGAGCTAGAGGTGAATTTTCCAAATGGGGGAACCAGGATCCACAGCCCCAGGGCCCAGGGGTCCGGCCACCCGGGCGGGGCAGCTCCAAAATAAATAATGGACTTGGGGACGGGTCAGGGCTGCTCCTGTTTCTTCTTCACCGAGATCCGCTTCTTCCTTGCTGCTAGCATCTCATAGAAGGGGTCCACACTCACCGCAGCCCTGGGCAGAGAGGAGTCGATGAGGGCCAAAGGCCAGGCCCAGCCTCCTCCCTCAGCCCCAGCCTCCTCCCTCAGCCACCCCGCAGGCTCACTGGATGGACTTGATCCACTCGTCCTTCTCCTCCTGCGTGGGTGCGGAGATGCGGTAGACCATGTGGTTGCCCTCCACCACGCGCCCGTCCGCCTCCGTCTTGCAGGCCTTGATGAGCTGCCCCTTGTTGTTGGGGATATAGAGCTCAAAGCAGTTCTGCGGGCGGAGGGAGGGGTAGTAGTTAGGAGTGGGGATGCGGGACTGGGGCCGTGGTCAGCGACAGGAAGCAGGTGGCACAGGAGGGAGGGATCCCCCCCGCAGTCTCACCGGCTTCCTGGGGTCATCCACCTCCCGGATGCTCAGGTTCTCCAGTGGGATGATGCCCCGGGGCTCCTTGTCCTGTGGGAGCAGGGCCGGCTCAGCTCAGGACCCACAACCCAGCCCCCCCCCTCCACGCTTCCCCCACGGTGTGGCCCCGGCCCCCCACACCCACCGTGGTGTACTCGAAGTAGTAGAGGCAGTTGTCGGTGAGGATGAACCAGCGCCGCTTCCAGGTCTTCACCCGGCCCCCTGAAAGGGAAGGGGAGGGGCCGGGCTCAGGGGCGTGGCCGCCTGGGGGCGGAGCCTCCGGGAGGCGTGGCCTCTCGGGGGCGGAGCGGCCGGGGCCTAGGACAGAGGAGGCGCGGAGCAGAGAGGCAAGCAAGCGGGCTGGGCCAGGCCGGGACAGGCCCACCCCTGGCTCCCCGGCCCGGGGCCGAGGCCCCCACCCCCTCCCGTGGCCCGCGGGGCCGGGCCGGCCGGGTACCTACCTCCTGGGGCAGACAGCGAGAAAGCAGGCAGGACCGGGTGCAGAAGGGAAGGCAGAGTGGGGGCCCCAAGAGCCGCAGCGACAGAAAAGGCGGGCGGGGCGCGGGGCGGACAGAGCACAGCGGAGACAGAGAGGCGGCGGGGAGGGAGAGAGGGGGAGAAAACCAGTTACATCCACTCGAGGGCAGGGCAGGGCGGGCGGGCGCGGGGAGCCCAGCTCCGCCCCTACCCACGTCCAGCCGAGGTGCCCGCCCCACTCCGCAGGCCCCGCATTTCCACAGACGGGGCTGGGAAGGGAGAGAATTCCCACCCTTCCCTGCCCACGAGCACGGGCTGCTGGCTGGGGCCCTTTCCCTCTCTGGGGGCCCAGGGCCTCCGCGTCCGGCAGGCACCCTACTGGAGCTTGCCATTTTGCTTCTGACCCCGAGCCTTGCTCACTTCGCCCAGGCCGCCCTCAAAAGCCGGGTTTATAGATGGACACAGCACGCCTGGCTGCCGTGCATAGGCCGACACCCTTGGGGGCAACATTTTGCTTCCTGGGCACCAGCGGCTCATGTCTGTAATCCTAGCGACTCAGGAGGCCGAGGTCTCAGGATGGCCGTTCACCTGCAGGTCCTCCGTGACTTCAGCCATGAGCAAGAAAGCTGAGCAAGTTTGAGGCCCTAAGTTAAAGCCCCAGCGTCAGCACCATAAAGAAGAAAAAGCAGCACAATTCTTGCCATGGTGAGGACTCAGCCCGGCTAGGGAGCCTGGAACCACGGCCTGCTGGGGTCTTCCTCAGAGCAGCCCATCACCCAACTGCCACCCTAAACGGGTGCCAGTGGCTCACGCCTGTCATCCTAGCTACTCAGGAGGTTGAAGTCTGAGGATCACAGTTCAAAGCCAGCCAGGGCAGGAAAGGCTGTGAGACTTTTATCTCCAGTAAACCACCAGAGAACCAGAAGTGGCGCTGTGGCTCAAGTGGCAGAGTGCTCGCCTTGAGCTGAAGAGCTGAGGGACAGCACCCAGGCCCAGAGTTCAAGCCCCATGACAGACAAAAAAAAAAGCCACCCTAGCCACACAGGCCACAACTGGGATCTCTGTGTGGCAACTTCAGTGTGTCAGGGTAACAGAGCTGTACTGTTTCCAGGTCTGTCCCAGTGTCATGACTGCCACCTTCTGTGCCCTGTGCCCAGCATTTCACCCAGGCTGTACCCATCCTCTACCTCCCAGCTAAGGCAGGAGTCCCTCTGGGAAGCAGACATCCTCCACAAGGCTGCGGGGGCCCAGGGCAGGACACCAGGGACAGCCACCACATGGCTGCACAATGAGGCTGATGAATCCTGCACACCGGGCTACCGCTATTCCCAGCAGCCTCCGGGCTGAGGGCAGGGCCTTGTGGCAAGAAGGCTCCACAGTCTTGTGTGGGGAGAGAAGAGTTGCTGTAGGCTCAGGACCCACCCACACCTGCTTATTTTCACACCAGGTTCAGAGGCCTAACTACATCCTCAGGCCACACAGCACGTTCCTGTGGAAACTGAGTCCTAATCCAGGCCACTCATTTGCCCCTAGTGGGGTGGCAGAGGGAGAGAGCAGAGGCCGTACCCAGCTTAAGGAGCCAGCCCTCCCGGTCGGGGTTGAAGAAGGTATGGGTCAGGTCGTTCCCATCATCCTCTGGGATCTTGAAGGGCTCATTCCGGATGCTGTCGTAGAGGTTCTGGAGGTTGGGAAGGGGCAGGTCAGCAAGGCCTTAAGGGGCAGGGATACAGGGAGTGGGGGGGGGAAGGGGAGAAACGGGGTACACCATGGGATGAAAGCAGGGGAGCAGAGGGAACCCCAGAGAGGGGAGAAGAGACACAGGGGAAGTCAACAGAGAATTGGAGTATGGCTTGAAGGAACAGGCAAGCCCAGAAATGACAGACAGACAGACAGATGCATGCCAA